CGTCCCCGCACCGCAACGCGTACGAAGCCACCATCCAGGCCTTGGCACCGGGCAAGGAGGCCGAGGGAGAGGAAGGCAAGAAGAGCCGGGGGAAGAAGTATGGCTCCAACGTGCACCGCATCAAGAACATGTTCCTGCAGATGGGGAAGGGGCCGGGGCCCGACGGCTCCTGCGAGCTGGGCAAGGCCAAGGAGAAGCCGGTTCGTCTCTCCTTGCCCCGGGCTGGCAGCCTCCAGGAGAGCGTGGAGCAGGGCAGCCTCCTCAAACTGGGCACCAGCGTCTCCGAGAGGGTCAGTCGCTTCGACTCCAAGCCCGACAAGCCTTTCTCCAAGCTGCAGGAGACCCGTAAGATCTTCGAGAGGAGCCCGCAGGAAAAAGCCACCAGCACCAAGCTCCTGCTGAGGAAGGAACGGGCCGGGTTCCAGGACAGAAAGCTGGACGTGGTGGTGAGGTTCAACGGCAGCACCGAGTCCTTGGACAAGCTGGACACAGAAGCTGTGTCCCCCACGGTCAGCCAGCTCAGCGCCGTCTTCGAGAAGGCCGATCTCCGGAACAACCTGCACAAGGCACCTGGGAGGGCTGCAGGGCCCCTCAACGCCAAGGTGGTGGGCAAGAGGCCTCGGGTCTTCTTGCCAAGCCCTGATGTTGGACGGGCAGGTGATGGGCAGGGCGCCCTGGTGAGAGCCAGGCCGGGAGAGGAGGAGAAGGCAGCAGGGAGGACCAGCAGGCCGGTGGAGAAGGAGGCGCCGGCCCCACGGGTGCAGGAGGTCTGCAAGATCAAGCCGGTGGAGGTGGAGGAGAGCGGGGAGGCTGAGGAGGAGGAGGTGACGGCGGTGGGGGAAGCGGTGCCTGCCCCCCAACAGGCCAAGGAGGCCGAGGGTCCGGCGCCCACCACCCCCCGGCTGGATGGGGGCCCGGGGGGGCCTGCGGGAGAGGAGGACGTCAAGGGTGAGAGGGTGGAGGAGGGTGATGCCTTCGAGGAGGCCAAGAAGGAGGACTTCTCCGAGGCAGACCTGGTGGACATAAGTGCCTACAGTGGGCTGGGGGAGGACTCGGGGGGCAGCGGGCTGGAGGAGGAGGAGGAGCTGTATGAGCCCGAGTCGGGCTGCGTGGAGATCCCAGGGCTTTCTGAGGAAGAGGAGCCCGTCCCCAACCGCAGGATCCAGTTCAGCACGGCCCCCATCCAGGTGAGGCCCCCGGCCGAGGGAGGGGGGGCTGGGGAGGGGGGTGCCCTGGGGAGAGGGGCAGGTCAGGGTGAGGGATGTTGTGGGTGGAGGGACATGATGAGGTGAGGGGTACCCCGGGGTGAGGGACATCATGGAGTGAGGGACATCATGGGGTGAGGGACATCATGGGGTGAGGGACATCATGGGGTGAGGGACATCATGGGGTGAGGGACATCATAGGGTGAGGGGCACCCCAGGGTGAGGGGTGCCACGGGGTGAGAGACCCTGTGGGGTGAGGGGCACCAGGGGGTGAGGGGCACCCCGGGATGGGGTGTGTGCCCCCCTCTGAGCCACCCCTTTGTGGGGGATGGGGACGTGGGTCTGTGCCCCCCAGCCGTGGGGCCTGGGGAAGGGTGGCGGCCGCCGGGGCCTGCTAACGAGGCTGCCTAACGAAGGGGCAGGCCCTGGCATGGCCTGGGTCCCCCCCCTCACCCTTCAAGGGGCCACCCTGGGCCTGATGTGACACAGGGAGGGGTGGCAGCAAGACCCTCTGGGGTGAGCTGTACCCCCCAAGTGCCACCCCACTTCCCTGGCTGGCACCCCCCAGCACCCACCCCCCATTTTGGGTGGGGATGCCTGAAATATCTGGGTGTAGGGTGCTACCAAGGGGTGTGTGTGGGGGGGAGTCCCTTGGTTCTGGGGCTCCTCCCAACCCGGGGGTCCCTGAGGAATAAGAGGTGGGGTTTTTTTTGGGGGGGGGGGGGGGGGGGGAGGGGGGG